ACCGGATGCAGTACAGTGGGCAAAACAGACACTGGAAGCATCATACATGCAACGCTGGGGAACTATGCTTACAAACCGGCTATCCCGTTCCAAAAGACTGCGGATGAGGTTTTCAAGCAGGCTGCTTTCCATGGACGCTGTGATGGTGATGCCTTTTTGAATACAAAAAGCTGGAACCTATCACAAGGAGATCAACGTACATGGAATCAGCTTCGCCTGTACTGTCGCTACGATTGCCAGGGATGTGAAGGAGGAATTGTCTGGCTTGACTCCTTGTTCTGGTACATGCTTAACAACCTGGACAAGTACTGGCCAGACTCAAGCTTGACATCGTCAGACCGCCTCGCCATCTTCCTGTCCCTACTCACGGCTAATCCGCAAGTGATCCTCCAGATTTCAAATCCGAGAATGGATGCAAGCAGCCGCTATTGAGCTGGCGAAAAAACCAGCCAACCCGGATCTGGAGTTCATCCCACATGGACAGACTAAGATGAACATATGTAAGTTCATCCCTGTCCAGCAGTACAGATCCCCAACGTCTTCACGACGAGACGGTAGCGAAAGCAATGGAGCTTTCTCACCTACACCGTCCTCACAACGCACGCTGGCAAGGTCTCGAGGCTTACCACCGAATGGGAAACGTGATCGTCCCGACGGACAAACATCCACGGGACTCACATCACAGGAGACGGGCACACCACCTTCAATCTCCAAAACGTCTGAGGCCAATGCAAGCTCGAACAAACAAAGGCTACGCAAAAGGCTTGGTGCAAGAAAGCAGCGATAAATAAATTTCTGTTTTCTCCTTCCATGATTGGTAGCTAATGAAAGTGCTCTCGTGATTGCTTCCACAGTGTACCTTACACTACATCCATCATTTGGCCGGACGAAAATGGCTGGTCAAAGAGGGAACGGAGTGCGAACGAAAATTCATACACCTCCGATACATTAGTGCCGGATTCGAGAGGATCAGTATCCGCACTCTCATGAGGGAGTGCCTGGAAATGATTGGCCTAGACGCGGAACTCCTGGATCCCATCGTTTTTGGCTGGAGGTATGAACCCCAGATCAAACACGACTTCTATAAACCCAAAGAGGTTTTCTGTAACTGGGACACTCTTGAACCACTGGTTTGCGAATGCAAACGATGGCCATGGGTGACTTACCTCGACGAGACTGGACATGTGCGTACATTGGATCCAAAGATCCTTGGCTCACGCATACTCACGAATGTCATCGAGAAAGGTCTCAATCACATCACCCCGAAACCACTCCAGACAGCAAAAATCATTGCCAAAGTCTGTGATGCTTGGGATCGGATTGCCAGTATAATTCCCGATGTCTACATCTGCAACTGGCCAAGCAATGAAGCTGCTGTTAAACAGCATATTAACTACCAGGTTCGAATGGCAGTACAAAATTGCTAGACCACCCCGACGGTTGATGTGATGACCACCCCCGAGGCAAGACGGCAACTGGAGTGGGTACATAAACACTTATATATCAGTGGCGCAGATAAAGCAGCCAACACACCCACCTTCTTTTGCAAAATGTTAGCCCGCGAAGAAGCGCTTGCGCGGATGAATAGCGACGACTTCTCACTTGTAGTCTCAGACAATAATGTCCCTGAGACGCCTGAGCAAGTTATAAAACAACTGCTCGGTGAACCGCCCTTACAGGAATTCCCACCGCAACAACCAGATCTCCCTTACCTCATGGGAATCTATAAAGCGCATAAGAATAAAATGCGCTGGTTAACAAATGCAGATGGATGTGTCTTCTCTGAAATCACTATCTGCCTAACGGCTATCCTCAAAGGGATACAGGAGGCACTACAAAACATAGCTGATGATTTCTATGCACGGGCAAAATTCTTTGGAGGAAAAACGAACACGTGCTGGATCCTTGGATCCACACAGGAGTTCGTGATTAATCTTCCCGATAGGATCACCACGATCTATACGGGAGATATCACGAAGTGCTATGAGGCCATCCCCCTCGAGGGCGATCAAGGACTCACGATGGCCATGACAAACCTTGTCAATTTGGCGTTCGCGCACCAAAACCACCTCCATAAAGACCTTTTTCTGATTCAAAAGAAAAACGGCGAGTTTGAGGCCGAATGGAAACCTCTACGCCGCTCATTAGTAAAGGCTACCAGAATGGATCCAATGAAGGTCATCGAGCTAAATCACTTTATCATCCGGAACACATATGTCCGTCTTGGTAACAGAGTATGGAGACAAGTCCGAGGGATTCCTATGGGCTTCTCGTGCTCGCCCTTGTGGTGTAACCTGTACCTATTCTACTTTGAGTATAACTTTATCACTCGACTCGCTCGTTTAGGCTGGTACGATCTGCTGCGCCTATTCGAACACACTTTCCGGTACATGGACGATCTGGTGTCAATGAATAACCCCATGATCCTCCACTTCCTTGACCCTGATCAAGTCGAATCTGAAGGAAATCCGTTCTGGATATATCTATTACGATTCCTTGCCATGCAAAATGAGATGGATAATCCACTCATAGGCACGGACGGCTCGCTCATGAATCTGTCTGCTCACTTCTTGAGCCTTCAGATCCAGGTCATACGGGTTGATGGTACTTTCTTAACCACAAAATATGACAAGCGTCGATCACTTCCATTCAAAGTCTCGCTGTACATTCATCGAGACTCAAACCGACCCATCGCAAACTCATCCAAAGTAATCCTGGGGCAAGTCTTTGCGCTTTTCTATCTGATTAACACCGCCAGTGGCATCATCCTTGAGATTGATAATCTCGTTGAATGCTTTGTGGAAAAAGGATTCCATCGCTATGCATTGAGACGACTCATCCTTAGTGGTCTGGATCGTATCATTCTCACCAGCCCCCTGACACCGGTGCAAGCAGTCATAGAAATTCTCTTTGACATCTGGAGAGAGCCGGCCAATCGCCCACCACAGCTCGACGACTCAGCAAACTCAAGCTGAGCACCAGGAACTCTGTCTTCTAGACAGGATTATCCATCACTTTGGCATCATATCGAAACATAATAGATTTGATATCTATGCCTCTTTGGACTGTGAACAACAAAAGAATTAGTTCCCCCAAACTTACCATGCAGTCCTTGGTTACGCACTGAACTAAGATGTGTGGGCGTACCATTGACTATAACTGTGTTTTGATTAGAAAATAAAAATACAACACAAGTTGCTGCTCTCTCATTCTGAGACAGATCCCATGCACAAAAAAGGGCCTTCTTTAAATTTTTTTTTTAAAGAAACCTTACTTACAGAAAACTCTGTTTCCCCATAGATAAACTAATGGGATACATGAGTAGACGTGGCATGGTAAAAAACAAAACCTTGGATTCCTCACAGAATCTCGCGCGAAGAAACACGCTGTACGGATAGGCAAACCTAATTACAAGCTGTAGCTATTCGACTTCATGGCTGCGGGCGCTGGAATTTCTCACACCGAAAGGTATGAAGCGACGGGGAAAACCCTAACGTTAGGGTTTCTCGCTTGTATCTGCCGCCGCCGCATTCTCCAGGAGCGCACCCACAAGCAGAGCAAGCTTGGGCCGCTGCAAGGCTGTGCGCTAGCACAACCACGCACACTTCCCGCCCACTCCAGGATCAACAGCCGCTTCGTTGTGCACCGCAAGAATGAGCAGCGCCAATGAAGTGTTTGTCTGGGAATAGCTCAAAACGAGCTTACACCCACCACTAAGGTCGCAAGGAATCTCACTACCGCATTCCTGGCCACGCAAAAACGGGTACAAACGATTCATTTTTTTGCGTCTTTTCACCCTTGGCCCGTAGGAATCTCTCTCGGCCAGAGCGCTGGAACTAAATACCACAGCGACACAAGGGGCTCTCACTGACTCTGCCCAGGTAGTGCTTGTGATATCGACTGTTCCAGCTTCTAATCATCCGCTTAGAAAAAAGACAGGATGACAGCGACTGGTCCAGACGGCGAGATCCATGAGTCAACAGATAGCAATCAGGTTGAGCATGCTCCTTAGCTCTAATCGTTGGAAGTCACTTCTGATGTGCGGCCCGGGCATGTACCTGAGTACATTGGCTCGCGAGCATCAGTCGTGCAAATCTCAGTTCAGTTTTGAAACCTAGCTTCATACTTTCACAAAATGAGAGATAGAGCTAGTGGAGATTGCATTACTAATCCTCGTCTTCCATGATAAAGGTACCCCCCGGACACCCAAACCGTAGGAGGTGACATAGGAATTGTTTAGGGAAATCGTTTTGGTCGTGGTCGGTACTGGGTTACCTGGCGGATGATCCTATGCCTCGGACGAATGTACCGAAAATGGCCTAGTCGATCTGCTTAACCAAATTTACTTTCATCAATTTTCAAAATTCTTCCTAGACCACCAATCTTTTGACTACCTTGTTGTAATGTGATAACATAAATATCATGACAAAAGTTGTACCAATTTGTTATCATGTGCTCACTTTTAATACTACACTCAATACGAGCTTGATCTTGTAGCATTTTAATGCATTAACAAAAATTTGAGCAAATGTGAGATTACTATTTGTAAATCAAGTATTAGTTCTAAAAGATTTTGTGGTATTGCAATTTCACTTCAAACCATCTTTACAACCTCGATTATCAGATTGATATCTCATTGATAGATGACATCTTTCACATTCTCTCTCTTTTGAAAGAAGACCAACCATAATACAAAAAATAAAAGAATTTAATTTACTATTAGTTCTCTGAATAAGATCAGAAAAAGAAAGAATACTATCTTGAACATGATTTATATATTCCAATTTAACTATATTACGAAAGAGAATGAATAAAATTATAAAGATATATAAGAAACACAAACATAAAACACAATGCATTCATTCACTGGCTAATTATAAAATTATAGTCATTAACATATCTGTTAACAATATCTACTAATTAAAATTTAACATTACTAATTTAGAGTTAGTCATTAAACATTTAAGGTGCAGCACTAAGCGCACCATAGAGGGAGCAGGATGTTGGATTATGCATTTCTTCCACCCACTGTATCCCATCAAACTCTTGTGCCTTATCCTATTTGTCCCCAACAGCCAATCCTTTGTCAATCTAAACCTGTGCTAGGCCGGGAAACCATTGAGTGACATCCCCTTCATGGATTTGCATGATTCCAAACCCCCTAGCTGCTTTCGCTATATGTTGCCACATCTCCTTGGCCACATTGCATTTCAAGAGAAGATGCACCACTGTCTTTAACGTTCTGCACTCCAAGCACTCTTTTGCTTGAAACTACTGTCCTACTGGCAGTCCATTTGTTGATGCAAGCTAGGACGTGATCTTGGATTGCTAACTTCTATATATTTTTATGAATAACAATATAAAAATTTAATTTAGTATTAGTATTAGACACAAGGACTTCATGGATATCATGCTGCAAAACCTAGAGCACAGAGGAGCAGCCAGGGAGGATTTCATCAAGGCAGTAGCCCTTGTATGTTTCCCCACATAACTTGTTTTGGTCACCAATCTCAAAACCATTTTGATCTGCAGGAACTCACCATTATGGGGACTGATACAAGCACTTGCATTGTCGAATGAACCCTTCTGGAGCTCTTCACAACCCCGAGTCCTGAGTAAGCTCAAGGAAGAGCTCGATGCAGTGGTGGGATCAAGCAGTCACATGATCGAGAAGCCCGATTTCCAGAACCTGGACTACCTCAACGCGGTGATCAAGGAAGCTTTTCGTCTCCATCCACCTCTGCCGCTCCTCAGTCCTCACATGTCGACTCAGACTTGCACCATAGCCGGATTTCACGTCCCAAAGAATGCCTTCACGTTTGTCAATGTATACTCAATCCGAAGAGAGCGAGGGGTATGGGAAAGGGCAGATGAGTTTTGGCAGGAGAGGTTTCTTGTTAAGTCCGTGGATGTTCAAGGCCAGGACTTTGAGTTGCTTCCATTCGGATCCGGGCGACGGGCTTGTGCGGGAATGCAGCTGGGCTTGAAGACTGTCCAGCTTTTGGTGTCCAATTTGGTCCATGCTTTTGACTGGAGCTTTGTTCCAGGCAAACCGAGTGAAGACTACCTCCTTCGAGAATGTCATGGCACTATTAACTGGATCAAGACCCCATTACAAGTTTGTGTCGTTCCTAGGACCAGTTCCTAGGACCAATCATTGTAGCAGGCACTGGCCAGTTTTGGATTGCATCCAATTTCGTTGGGTCTGGTTTCATCTGCCCAACTATGATCCAGAAGCTGAGGTATTCCTGGAAAATGAACATGTTGCGAGATCGACTATGAGTGCAAAATCTCCAGCTGCTGTAAGACAATGTCCCATGTACACCAGAATGAAGAACATGGAGGAAGAGAAGAAGCAGCAAGAATGAAAGGAAAGGGAAGAGCAAGAGAGAGGTTATATGTTCTTTACTAGTTTTCCTTATCCTTTTACACAATTTCACAGCAATGCTCATCACAGATAAGCATGAAGTAATTAAGAATGGTTATAAGCTTATGTAATATATAAGTAGCATTTAGACAACCACTCACTATTGTATGCATTTGCATTGAATTAACCATCTTTTCTCCCACTTATGACTATTTGTGCAAAGTAGAATTGAGAGAGTGACATATGTTTATCCTTACTCATGCGATGTACCTCTTTGGCTTTAGTAATATGCAAGCATTTCTTTTTCCAAGTATATTTAAAGAAATTGAGTAAGGTTTTTTCTGCCTATACTTGTGTTCTTGCCTCTGCCTGCAAAACAGTGATAAACAAACAGAAACAAGAACGTAGAGAAGAAGAAAATGAAGAGAAGAATGAGAAGAGAATAAAAAAGAACTCAACCTCGAACCTAAGCTCTTTCAGGCTCGGATGGCTATAGAAGGCTGACAATAGTTGGCCATTCAAAGCATTGTGATCTAGGTATCTATGAGAAAAAAAAGCTTTTGTGTGAGAAGAATTTATAGAGGCATAAAGACCACATAGGTACATTAGCTTTAGTATGCTTTTAAGTGCCTATGGTACTGGACCTGTAAGCTTGTTGTATGACAAGTACCTGCATAAGCACGAAGGGAATCAGCAAGTGAGGACAACTAGCATTGAGCTTACAAGACTTCTAGATTGCACAAGTACGAAAGTTCTGCTGGTATTCCTCTAGTGAGGTAATTGTTTAGATACCTGCAGGGACATCTAACTTAAGACTCTAAGCACAAATAAAGAAAAACTTACAAATTTCATAGAGATGGAAATGCCTCTTGAGCATGATTCTGTTTGCTTCTTAGCTGTTCTTTGATGGTTCCCATAAGATGATTGTTGCTGTTCTTCACTGTAACATTTCAACATTTGTATGGAATCACTATGTTCTTCACTAGATTCTAAGTTGAATTTGCTACCCATGCTGTGATGGCACGTAAGGAAATTGGTAGGATCAACCTTGTGCTTGATGTGGTATAGGTGAGGATAGTTCTTCCTAAAGGATTGCTGCCAATTGGGCTCGTTGTAATCAGCCTCATTCACATAAGTCCTGGGGCTTGGTGATGAAGAGCTTGTTCACCTGTGACACTAGATTCATAGCAGCCCTCATCTCTGCCACCATCACACTGTCCTGCCAAGTCAGGGGCAATACAAGCAGCCACAGTCCATTACGATATGCTGGATTCATAGCACTGTCTTGAGGTTCTCCCAGTTTCCCACCCCCCAGGATTGCATACGTATCTGGAACTTGCAGCTCGGTCATGACATGCATCATGGCCTTTGGGAGGAGGTCTTGTTCATGGTTGAAGAGCGATCTTGGGATCAGCCTCATTGCAAAGACATCCCTATACTAAAACTGCAAGTGCCAGTCCCAATATGAGGCATACGTCTCCAAGCTTCATTGATCCAGAAGTTGTTCTCTTGTGCATATGATAGGACCAAGGTGGCAGAAGCATATGAGATGTTCCAGTTGGGCAGCTGAGTAAGGTTTTTTCTGCCTATACTTGTGTTCTTACCCCTGCCTGCAAAATAGTGATAAACAAATAGAGACAAAAATATAAAAAAGAGAAGAAGAGAAAAAGAATAGAAAAGAACTCAGCTTCGAACCCAAAAAGTGTGAGTAAGGACAAGCATGTCACTCTCTCAACTCAACAGTCATAGATGGGAAAAAAGATGGTTAATTTAATGCAAATGTATATAACAGTGAGTGGGGTTTTTTTTCCAATACATCTAAATGTTATTTATATACTACATAAATTTATAAGTATTCCTAACTACTTCACACTTATCTATGACAAGCGTTGCCTAGGTCGGGTCTTTCTTTTTTGGATGTCTAAGCTTAGATGTAACTCCATTTTGCTTAAGTGCTCTGTATAGGAAGATACATAAGCTAAAACATTTATCTCTTCATCACTCCCCTATGACAAAGTTATTGTCTACCTTTAGGTAGTCGGATTCTCCAAATCTTGCTCCAAGTTGTTGAGCTTAGTCTTTATAGTGACAAGCTCAACAATTTAGCGTAGATCGTTAAGTTCCTAACACATGATCTAATTTTCTTGGTTGAGCATTGTGATACACTTTGCATCGGTGGATGTGGAAGCTAGTATCATACTCTTGAGTTTTTGGATTATGTGGCACTAATGATTTTGCTCACCCATGACTTTTACTCCACAAAATTTTGTTGCTTATCAATCTAGATTCGGGATTAATCCAATGTTTATTAGCCAAATTATCAGCAAGTGTATTTTTGCTTATGGGTATCCAAGCTTTATTGTGAACTGTTATAATTCCTACAATAACTTATTTGCTTAAGATTACATAAGATTTTAGTAATTGTCTAATAGGTAGAATTTTATAAATCCTTTGCAGACTATAATACTCAAAATTTGTGTCTAGCTCGGATAAGTAGACTATCTCTCTATCTAGGAAGAATCTTGGTATTATTTTCTTTTTGTATAGGTAATTCCATAGATATAAATTTTGCTTACACTGTGTACCTACAAAGTAATCTAGGTGTATTATCACACTTTTTTTGACAATAATAAAAGTACTAGGAGTTAGACTTTTGTATACCTTAAGCAAAATATTGTTAAGTATCTCACTCGATAATTCATTGAGTTGTTTAAGCAATTTAGTTAAATTTATCATTTATTGGCTTTGTTAGGTATACAAGATAGTTTAGTTTTTGCTTTCTTATACTTTTGCTTAGTCACATAAAGCGGGGATCAATCAACTTCTGTCTGGGTCTATAAGAAAAATGTATCTTCTAATAGTGTGGTGGATCGTTGGTAAACATCCTTATTTTGTCTACCCCAATTCCTCCATTCAACTTTTATTAGGACTGTGGAAGGTTGTCTCTCCACTTAAGTGTGTAGGAAGACCTTTCCTTTCTGCCCATGTAATGTGGTTAAAATTAATTCAATGCAAGGTCTTTGGTGCATGATAGCTAATTCTATAGTAACTTGCCTATTTCATAGTGGGTCTTACCCTTTGGCTTATAGCTAACCTTGCCCTTACAACTGTGGAATTAGAAAGAGTGGCCTATTGCTCTTGGTAGATTTTAGGTAAACCTATTTTAAATGGATAACACTAGGGACTAATTTGAATGGGGGCATGAGGACCATTCCTTGAAATTGCTTTGTAGAATCAACACAAAAGTAAAATTATTTAATGCATGATAACCTATTCTAGATCAATTTATTTATGGAATGACATTAGGTAGCTTTTAAAATATATAATAGTTAATTTGTGGAAAACTTTGCTTTAGATCTAGACAAAAATTGCTTTTCAAGGAAAATTTCTCTCTAGCCTCTTTGCCAATATGCAATAATGGTCAATACAAGTCTTTACTCAAGCTTGTTTGATAGATTTTTGAGTTTTTTTTATCGCAAATGTGACTTTGGGTATCGAAAGTTACTTGTTGGCTGTCCTTTCAGATATTCTTTCTTTACTGCCACGACGGCAAGAGGTCGGTATTGCTAGACCCTTTATTAGTCTCTGCCTAAGCTAGTTGAGAAACTAATCATCACATGTGCACTTAGACTGGAAGGGCACTAAAGAAGGAAATCCTTAGTTGTCATTTGTCAAGCAGACTTGACATGGTGATGAGAAACTCATGATGTTGACTTGCACTTGTTAGTGTTAGGAACCTCCATGATATTGAAATTGGTCCCTCAATATTCACTAAATGATAGCTTACAGTATCTGTCAAACACCCTCACTATCATGCCCTTTGTGTTAGTTTCATTCTAGTCCCAAATGCTATTTATGGAAAGTGTCTAGATTTGTTTTGAGTTTGTCCCAAAGATTAACTCCTGATACTAAAGGAGGCTTGGGGTGAAAGCCCAAGGCATGTGTTCCTTGGGGGGGGGGGGGCACTGTGGGGGGTTCCAAATGTATAGTAGGGATAATGGGTAGATTAGGCATGGCCGATCAACTTGAGGCATAGTCTGCTTGCATGCCTGTCCTTGTTTTGCATCCGACTTGGGTTTAAACCCAAGTTCCACACCATGCTAGCTGGTGGAATACCTATGTCCTTGCGTTAGGCCACCAGTATGCCGAAATAGCGTTAGACTTCGTTTGGCTCCATTTTGCATGCTAGTCCTGGCATTGGGATGTTGAATACTAAGACTGTTCCAAGTTGCTTCGTGCTCTTGTCCCTTCGCTCCTTGGGGTGTATGTTCGGAAGTCGTTCCGTGCTCTAGTACCATCTCTCCTTACCTCCATGCTTGGGAGTTTGGCACCGTTCCTTCATTAAGTGGCCCAAGGCCCTAAAACTTAGGTTCCACACCACTATTCTTTGGACACGTGGCATGTGACATGTGGCATATGATACGTGGCACATGGAGGGTTTACGTTCCACTTTGTGGTTATCCTGTGGTAAATCACCATAGGATAAAGGGTAAAAACCATATGCGCTATATTTGGTATCAAAGGATGAGTCTCAGCGAGTACTATACAATGAGATTGGGCAACTAGTCTCGTTGTATACGCAGAGATGAAAACGATGATCCAAGTGGGTATATGTTTGGATGCAAAGGCTTCGCAATCGTTCCTTGGGTATGGATTTGGTTACCTTGTTGTACCTTATGATATGAGCTTGCTCTTGGGCTCATAAGATGGATTGAGTTGTTCCATTTTTGCACAAGTTTGCACTTGGGCTCGTGAGTGAGGCACATTAGCAACTCAATGTT